ACAAAAAAGGCCAATGGCCACAGTGGCTGACTGGCACTACGAGGTAGCCCAGAAATCCACGTGGTCATGTCCTTTTGAAACTCTACCATCCAGGTATGTGTCTCGAGTTCCAGGGCAAGGGTCCTTCACCCTCGTGTGTGGTGTGTCCTTGAGGCCCTTTGGAAATAATAGGGAGGGCCATCTCTGAACCCCGTCGGTTCTGAGATAGACGGTGTCTCATGGGAAGTGAGGCTCACAGCCTCCGGGTGTCAGTAGGGGGCGCCTCCTGTCCAGAGGTTCGGGCTCCAACCCGAACACCAAGAGCCTCCTCAAGAGACAGTGCCATCCCACTGAATTCCAGGCATCTTGCATCTGCCACTGAAACTTAACGCAGTTCGGATTTGCCTCAGTTGAGTGGGACCCCAACCCACTCAGGCAGCTCCTGAAGCAGAAGTTGGAGTCGTTCTGTTGGCCTGCCCACTTCAAAAAAGGTCCAGGTAAGGGACCAGCAAAAGAAGTTGAATGGAAGTTCACCACTAGACAGGCCTGGGGAGCCAGAGGCCAACCCCGTTGCCCCCCAAATCCCACCCAATTACAAACAAGTCATTTTTCACTTCTGGTACCAACCTCTATAAATAAAATAGATAATAGATACATAGATGACAGATAGATTTTAAAATATCAATATAGGTACTATAAAATATCAATATAGGTACTATCTATCTATCTATCTATCTATCTATCTATCTATCTGCCTATTTAGCTATCTCTTCACTTACTGTTGCCCAGGCTGGAGTGTAGTAGCGTGACTATGGCTCATTGCAGCCTCAATCTCCTGGGCTCAAGCGATCCTCCTGCCTCAGCCTCCCAAGTAGCTGGGACTACAGTCACACGCCACCACACCTGGCTAATTTATTTTTTGTAAAGACGGTGTTTCACTATGTTGTCCAGAAGGAGCCTCAAACTCCTGGGCTCAAGTGATCCTCCCGCCTCAACCTCCCGAGGTGCTGGGATTACAGGCATGGGCCATTGTGCCCAGCCTTTATTTTCAACTTTAGACATTACCTATTGACTCTATCTAACAAAGCTTTAGCTCTCTGATGTTGACGGTTATAGTACTATTCTCAGTTCTCCTCACAATGCTGCTATTGGGATCAATTATTACTCCTGGACAGAGCAGAGAGCTGGAGGAGCCTCAGTTTCAATGACATCCTGGAGCTGCCATGCCAGCCCTAGGTAGATCAGGTAGGGATCCCCTGTGGAGTCCCACTGCACTCCAGCCTGGGCTAATTTTTGTATTTTTTGTAGAGACGGGGTTCCGCCATGTTGCCCAGGCTGGTCTCAAACTCCTGTCCTCAGGTGATCCACCTGCCTCAGCTCCCAAAGTGTTGGGATGCCTACAGATTTCATCCTGAGGAAGAAATAACTTCGTCTTATTTAAGATCACTGTCATTCAGGGCTCTGTGATTTCCAGTTTTAGCTGATCCTGGCTTATACACATTGCTCTTAGGATTTTTACAAATATCCTTCCATGACTTGGCCCTACCTCTGAGCCTCGTCTTGTGATAGGTCTTATTCCCCAGGTATGAGCTTCCATTCCGTGTCTCTCGCAACCGGGCCGGGAGCTCTTGCACCAGTCATTTCCTCCGCCTGGTATGCTTTTCTCCTTCCACTTCCTCTCACCACATCCTCTCCATCTCAGATCAAATGTCAAGGCCGGGTGCAGTGGCTCACGCCTGTAATCCCAGCACTTTGGGAGGCCAAGGTAGGTGGATCACTTGAGGTCAGGAGTTCAAGACCAGCCTGGCCAACATGGTGAAACCCTGTCTCTACTAAAAATACAAAAATTATCTGGGCGTGGTGTTACATGCCTGTAATCCCAGCTACTTGAGAGGCTGAGGTAGGAGTATCACTTGAATCCGGGAGGCAGAGGTTGTGGTGAGCAGAGATCGCACCACTGCACTCTAGCCTGGGCAACAAGAGTGAAACTCCATCTCAAAATAAAAAAACCTGTCAAGCCTCACAGAGGCTCCTAAGCCCATCTAAATTAGGTCCCACCCATGGCCGGTATTTTCTCCTATTCTTCTGTTTCACAGCCCTTCATACTTACGTATTTGCCATTAATGACACATGTACACATTTTTGGTGTATTTCTTAATGTTCGTTTCCCCCACTAGACTGTGAGCTCCATAAGGGAGGAATCTATGTCTGTTTTGTTCACTCTTATGAACACAGCATATACAATAATAGGCAGTCTATAAATATTTTTAAAAAAGGATTGTAAAAAAAAAAAAAAGGAGGTTCAGAGAGGTTAAGCAACAAGCTCAATTTCACACAGCCAGCAAAGCAGGATTTGAACCAAGGCTTGTCTGAGTTGTCCTAAGCTCACCAAATCTGAGAATTTGGATTTTCTTGAACAATTCCCTTCAGAAGAAGAGGAGAAATGACTATCAGGTAAACACAGCATTCAGGCTACTGGGTAATCAAATTCCTCATTGAAAAAAAAAATTAATTAAAAATTTTTTTTTTTCTTGAGACAGAGTCTCACTCTGTCACCCAGGCTAGAGTGCAATGACACAATCTTGGTTCATTATAACCTCTGCCTCCTGAGTTCAAGTGATTCTCTTGCCTCAGCCTCCCAAAGTGCTGAGATTACAGGCATGAGCCACCATGCCTGGCCAAATTTAATTTTTTAAATAGAGACAGGGTCTCACTCCTGGGCTCAAGCGACCCTCTCATTGAAAATTAGCAAGGTGAGTTTTTCATGTGTGAGTTCCATTTTACTGTAAATTTAACCAGAATGAGATAGCTTCCCTGAGTGATCAGCTCAGGGGTATGGGAAGCATCAATTTACAAAACTGAAACCCAGACCCTGCCCTGGGATAAGTTTACCAATTTAGTGCCACTGATCAAGGCCTCTTGCACCCCGGCCTGAAGGCCTCTCCCTGGCACTAACCGTTGTGCTGAGAGCCATCTTTCACATTTCCAGTGGCTGCTCTCTGCGATCAGAATGACTAGAACTCTCTTACTTTGTATTCTGTACTGACAATCCTTCCAGTAACATTACCACCCATCTCCAGTTTTTTGGTGTTTGGGTTTTTTTTTTTTTGGTGGGGTTGGGATGGGCAGAAATCGCCACTTTCTCACAGTACTCCTGCTGTCCCAGGCCTCAAGGATACATGTGACTCAAGCCAGGCCAATCAGACTGCCTTTCTTGAGTGGAGGCACAGAGTAACAAAAGGCAGCTGGGTTTGAGTCATGAGAAGGGCGCACTTAGGGTGATGGTCAGCAAGTTCCTCAGGCCAAAGTCCTCAGAGCTGCCCTGGTTACCATTGTCCCCTAAGCTTGTCATTCAATTCTTCTTCCAGACCAGTGGGTTACCCTGGCATCCTTTTGTTCTTACTTAAGTCAGAGCCAGTTTATTGCTGGCAGTCAGAGAATTGTAACCGAGGGTGACATTCATAGGGAAGATGGTAAAGGACATGGACTCTCTCTTTTTCCCAGAAAATAAGAGGGGTTTTGGAATTGGTTATGGAGGTAAGATAGAGTGAAGAGCATTGAAACTCCTGTTTCTATTCAGGGATGGGAAGGTAGCAGCCTTTCTACATCACTGGATAGTTTTTAAAGCTAGAGGATGGGTCTGGTGCGGTGGCTCACAACCGCAATCCCAGGACCTTGGGAGGCTGAGGCAGGCGGATCACTTGAGGCCAGGAGTTTGAGACCAGCCTGGCCAACATGGTGAAGCCCTGTCTCCACAAAAAATACAAAAACATTTAGCAGAGCATGGTGGTGCATGCCTGTAGTCCCAGGTACTCAGAGGCTGAGGCATGAGAATCTCTTAAACCTGTAGGCAGAGGTTCCAGTGAGCCAAGTGTGCCACTGCACTCCAGCCTGGGCAACACCCTGTCATACATGCACACACACCAAAAAAAAGCTAGAGGGGCCAGGAATGATAGCTCACGCCTGGAATCCCAGCACTTTGGGAGGCTGAGGTGGGTGGATTACGAGATCGGAGATCAAGACCATCCTGGCCAACATGGTGAAACCCCGTCTCTACTAAAATACAAAAAAAAAAAAAAAGCTGGGTGTGGTGGTACACACCTGTAGTCCCAGCTACTCAGGAGGCTGAGACAGGGGAATCATTTGAACCCAGGAGGCAGAGGTTGCAGTGAGCTGAGATTGTGCCACTGCACTCCACCCTGGCGACAGAGCAAGACCCCATCTCAAAAAAAACAAAAACAAAAAACCAAAAACCAGAAAAACAAAAGTTAGAGGATGATCATTAAAATCCTCCCACCTCAAGGCATGGAATGAAACTCCTATCTTTCTATTACTGGGTAGAAATTCCCTTATGGTTTGAAGCCACTGAGCTTGTTTAAAAACAAACCCAGAGTCTGATTCTGCAAAAGTGCTAGATTCACCAATTGAATTCATAACCTCATTCCGTTTCAGAACAAGGTGGCATCCTGTCAGCTGGATTAATGATATCTGGGAGTATTCAAAGGACATAAAAAGGATAACCCTCCAGAAATATTTCCTTCTGAACTCCACTGCCGGGAAAGGCGTTCCTCTCTCTTGCAGAAGAAAGCAAAGTTTCCCTCCTGCCCCACACCACACGTTATGCCAGTAACCAGAATCCACACAGCATAAGCCAGGGGATGAGAAGCTAAATCAGATCAGGAAAGAGGCGAGTGAAATTCTGAAGAAACTGCATGAACTGGCAAATACATTGTCAAAAAATACATGGTACATTAGTGGACCTTTTTTTTTGTTGTTTTTTTGAGACAAAAAATGGTATCCCTCTGTCACCCAGGCTGGAGTGCAGTGGCATGATCTCAGCTTACTGCAGCCTCAATCTCACGGGCAGAAACAATCCTCCCACCTCAGCTCCATAAAAAGCTGAGACTACAGCCATGAACCCTCATGCCTGGTTAATTTTTCTTTTATTTTGTAGAGACGGAGTCTCCCTATGTTGCCCAGGCTGTGGGGGACCTTTTAAAGGCTGTGTGACCAAGATATAATTGTGGTTCAGGTTGTCTTTATTGATACGTTCACTCAGCAGAGATTCCACATTCTATGTAAAAGCTCAAATCACCAGATACAGTTCTTACTATTTTGGGGGTGGGGGGCTTGAATAATACAAATCTGGACCAAATGTTGGCCCATGCTAAATTACATCAAAAGACCAAACATCCAAGAAAGGCAGGAATTCAAAGATTTCATTAGATAAAATGCTTGATTGGGTCCCTGGCATGCACCCAGCCCATCGACCCCCCCCCCCTCAACTGCCCTCTGGTGGGACCCAGAAGATGGGCTCCCTTCTTGCCATGAGAAATACATTCACAAGGCTCTGCTGATTTTCCTCTCTAGGCCTGGGAGGCTGGTTGGAAGAGCTGCTGTGAACATGGGCTCCCTGATCTCAGCAGCAGAGATAGACAGAAGGAACAAAGTAGAGTGCTCATCGTAACGGACAGAGCACAGAAACCAGACCTGGAGCTTGGGTCCCAGGATGAAAAAGGCCAGATGCTCCTAGGATATGGCCTAGTAATGACCTTAACTAAAGACTTCTGGGCCAACAGGCCTGTCTTCTGCTGCCAAAGTCAAGTCAAGATCTCCCACTTGATTTCCAGACCTTAAATGGAGAGGAAGTCAAATGTGTTTTTGAAAGAAAAGCCTATTTTAACACTTAATGCATGTTGTGAAGCTTCCTTGCAGCCTTCCCCAAAGGGATCTGTAGCCATTCATCTGGGACTACAGAAGGCACAGCAAATCGGTAGTTGCATGGTGCCCTGATCAAACATGTGAATCAGAGTGGGAGATAAATCATGTGAAAATCTGCCCCTTCTATTATTATTATTTATTTTAGTATTTCTTGAGACAGAGTCTTGCTCTGTTGCCCAGGCTGGAGTGCAGTAGTGCAATCTTGGTTCACCATAACCTCCACCTCCCAAGTTCCTGTGATTCTCCTGCCTCAGCCTCCCAAGTAGCTATGACTACAGGCGTGTGCCACCACACCCGGCTAATTTTTGTATTTTTAGTACAGATGGGGTTTCACTATGTTGGCCAGGCTGGTCTCAAACCCCTGACCTTGTCATCCACCCGCTTCAGCCTCTCAAAGTGCTGGGATTACAGGTGTGAGCCACCATGCCTGGCCTACCCCTTCTACAAAGTTCTAGGGGTTGAGGGATCTGTTTGAGGTCAGAATATTTCCTTCATAATGTAGGACAAATGACTGTATGTTGAATCCCTCACCACGAAGACCTAATTCCAGGCAATATATGCCACTTGAGGCATCTTGTTCCAACCCATTTACCGACCCACCTAGAAGGCTGCCAGCTTTGGGGTGGGCTTAAAGCAGACAAAGGCATCCCAGCTGGGAGTCTTTTGTGCAGCCGGCTCTGCCATCAGGCCACATGACCTGGTCAATGGTGCATGAGGTATCCGTCCGTCGGTGGCATACTGGGGAGCCATATGTAGCCTGGAATAAGTCCTGACAAGAAAATACAATAGGGAACCCCAGGATTTGGAGCCAAGTGATGCTCTTGCTGACAAGTAACCAATATCCTTGAGCAAAAGTCCCCTCTGGCTCACCGCTGGGCTCTGGGGGAGCCTAAACGCTCGGCCCTGACACACTTGGTGGCCATGCTGCCCCTCGTGGTGTTATCTGACCCACCTGGCCATAAAGTCTGGCAGGGCCAGTGCACTCCGTTATCAGGTGGACTCTGTTGCTCCAGGCTAGGGCTGTGAAGGCACCAGTGGGTCACATGTGGGTTGCTCACTTGCTCTCCACAGTGCTTCCCCGTCTACACCCGCAGCTCTGAGAGGGGCAGCAATTTGTCTTGGCCCCTTTGGGTCCTTGTTCTGGATCTGGATTTGCTTTTCTTACCCATCACGCCTCTCCCACCATCAATATCCATGGAATTATCAAATGTCATAAACATCATGTGGCCTTCTCACACACTGCACCCGACCAGAGAATTCACTTTCCAACAAAAAGAAGCGTTATGGGTTGATGTGTAGGCATTCACTCATCCTCTCAGGAACCCAGACCAGCAGCAGCTGGCTTGAGAGTGTGGTGAAATGGCTTACTGAAAACTCAGCTATGGAACCAGAAACAACACCTCGAGAGGCTGGGTCAGGCCCACAGGAGGCAGCACGCGCTTGGAGCCAGAAACCATACCTGGCGGTTTCTCCTTCAAGGATAGGACACAGTGTGGAGATGGCCTTGCTACTGCTAGATCTCAATGCCTTTCTCATACCTGAGATGTGGGACCAGGCTGGTGTGGAGAGTTGAGTCCCCAGTCCAGAAACACATCCTCAAAGACATAGTAACAATTCAACTGAATTGGAAGCTGAGGCAGCCACCGGGCCATTTCAGGCTCATTATAAAGAGGTCATGGGAGTATCTAGAATGCTGAACCTTATCAAGGGAAAATATGATTGCTGCTACGTAAAAGGGGGCAGTAGAGACGGACATGGAGGAGATTCCTGGAGTTTGTCCTGGGACTGCCATGTCCAATAGTAAATGCCTGTCCCACAAGTAGGGCCATGAAGGAGCTTCAGAACTGAAGGTTTGAGTCACTCCATCAAGCCAAAAGTGCATAATCATAAACAAACATGAGCTCCCATGCCCAGTTCTAGAAATGGACCGCAGACTTTGCCCATTCTTACTTTCTTGCTGAGTTATATGATTTGGTTGGATATAGTTAACTTTACCAGTTAATCTACAGGTTGTAGAATTTCAAAATGGAATTGTGATAAAACTGAAAGAGGGAGATTATCCCTAGTGACACTGGACTTTGGAGAATAGTAGCCCTGTCTTACCCCTGGAATTAAAAGTTAGCTATGATCCTGAATTCCCTAAGCAGAGAGAAATGCGATTGTGGTTTTATGTGGTCGAGTTGTAACACATGAGATGGGAAGGATGGCACTTGTGTTAGCAGCATCTTTAGGGTCTGCCAACCCTTCTGCACCCACCATTTCCACCATGTCCACCCTTCCGACTCCACCATGCTTCCAGCAAGAGTCAGTAGACCTTTGGAAAACTGCCTCCCTCCTACTCTATGAAGCCCTGAGCTCCAGGCCAGATTATCTCACCTGGAATTTGAATCTTGAGTGGAAGGAGACCCACGAGGTCGGATGGCAAGTTGGTGTTGATCTGCCAACCCTGGGAGGCAAGCCTTGGGGCTGCCCTGGCTCCCACTCTTCCCAAGGCCAACTGTTCAGCTACTCTTTCGATTCTGTGAGCTATACCAGATCCTTCCCATGAACCCTTTCTCCTTGCTTAAGTTGGTCCAAGTTCATTTCAGTTGGTCAAAACTCAAGAATCCTAACAGGTAGTCTCTCCTGAGATGGCCTCATACATCGTTGCCTCCCAGCAGCTGCCAACCAGGGTCTGGCATAAAGCAGTGCTGAGTATATGTCTGCTGAATGAGTGGGTGAATGAATAAATGGATGGGCAGTACTCCAGCTCTCAGTTCACCAAAGTAATCTGAATATGCAGGCTGGGAGAGGAGGGAACACACTGGGGCAGAAGGAAGATGTGGAGTCACCTGAGCACAGAGGTAGAGAAATCAGAGATGTCACCATGGAGGGGAAATGTCAGGCAAGGGGAGGTTCTGGGTGGGAGTGGGAATGAAGAACTTCTCTGCAGCTTGAGAAGTAGAAAATGGTCAGCAAGCAGCTGAGAGGCAGGTACTGGTGGGCTCCTCAGCTGGTCTTGCTGCGGCCAGAGACAACAGGGAGTTTCCAGAGCCCCCAGCTCTGCGCTTCCTTCCTGGGTGGCTTTCTTTGTGTTCCTCTTCTGAATGAAGAGCAATTCCAAAGGTGTAAGTGCCCAGACACCCTGCTAAGGGGCACAAGCCAGCAGCCCAGTTGTGCAAGCACAGAATGTCTTTCTGTGGCCACAGAAAGCTACAACTGAACTTCGGTCCAGGAACCAAAATACAGATGCATTTTTCTAGTGGGCCCGGGACTACAGGATACCCTCAGAGAGCCTGCCTGGGAGAGGGGGACCCTGACTCCTCAGACCTCCAACAACACCAGTTGAGGGCAAGCAGGACACACAATGCTGCCTTTATTGCATTCGAAGGGGAGCGGGCTAGCTGCAGACCCACCACCCCCAGGCCTCCAGGAGGGATGTTCTGGAAGGACCCAGGCCACTGGGTCCTTGGAAGCCCATACATGAGGGCCCAGAGCTGGGGTCCAGGATCAAGAACTATGGTTGGGGCAGGGGCCCTAATTCCCAGGCACAGAGACAGCCCTCCATCCAAGTGCACGGACAGATTGCATCCCTCCTAGAACACCCAGGGGAAGTCCCATGGGGAAGAGACCTAGCCCTCCATTCCTGGATGAGAGGGGATGTGAAATTAACTGTGACTCCACCTGCTTTCAGTATGGAGGTCAAGGTCTCTCAGAGTCAACACCTGTCTCTGGCTACAGCTGCTGACACAGCCCTTACACCAGCTCTCACCTCATGAGCAAAGAGCCCGGGGGGAAGTTGGGGAAGAGAGTACTGAAGTGGAGTGAGAGGCCAGAGGGTCTGTTCCTCACCTGGGTATTGGTGGGCAGGGGGTGGGGAGCTCTCAAGCAAAGGGCCACGTGCAGAGTTGTGAAGGGCAGGCAGCAGGTTGCAGCTGGGCCCCAAGCCAGGGATGTGACTGGGGGTGCAAAGGAGCATGGAAAGCAGGTGAGTGAAGGAGCTGGAAAAGCATGAACACACATCATCAAAGGCCACTGCACAAGGACATGACAGGCTGTGGAAGGGCCCTGAGCCCCATCTGGGCTCAAGGACATGTTAGTTGCAGGATAAGCTGAGATCCATAAGCCAAAGTAGCTGGAAGGAGAAGATACCCTGAGAGTCACCAAGCCAGACCAGCAGAGGAAGTCTGGAGCCCTGAGAATGGGGCGAGATCAGGGCCAGGCAAAGGCAGCGGGGTAAATGCTGGCCTTCATGTCCTCACTTGGATAATAACATCTGCTGCCGGATTGGGCTGGGGCAAGGGCTTGGGGTACAGAACTCATGCAGAGGACTCAGGGGAGCCTCCAGCAGGGGCAAAGTGTAAACTTCAAGGAGGGCCTAGGCCACCAGGCACTTGGAGGTGGGGCCTGCTTGAGGCCTGGGAACCCTGGGTGGCAGTGGAACCAGAAGAGGCCAGTGGGCTATGTGCCATGCACCAAAGCCATCTGATGAGGAGCTGATCCATGAGAGGCTGCTCAGAGAGGTCCCCAAGTGGTGCCTCCTCCAGGCACCTTCTCCAGTTAGTTCCGTATTTGGAAAGTCTCCATCCGGTTCAAGCTGCTTCCTGGTTGGTCTGCTGCTGGGTGGAGGCCCCCAGCCTCCCGTTGAGGCTACCGCATGCCCTGGGCCTTGGAACCCTCCTCTTGAATGGGAGGCTGTCCCAACAACTGAACGGTGACTGCCTCTGAGGCTTGAGGGGCAGCCTTGGCACTTGGAGTACTCTTCCGGGTGCCCTGAGGACTAGGGAGGCCTTTCTTCTGGGGCTGAGGACTCAGCTGGGAGCCTTTCCTGCCAGCAGACGGACTCTTAGAGCCTTTGGCTTTGGCTTGGGGGTGGGCTGCCTCAAGGCCCTTGAGGGGTGTTAGCCCCAGCAGCTCACAGTAGGCGTTGCACTGGTGGGAGGAGGCGAACCGGTTCAGCAGGTCAGGGAAGCAGCTTTCTTTGAGGCCCTGGTATCTGCAGCCAGAGAGGAAGAGCTGAGTGGGGGTCCCACCCAGAGACACAGCTCCTTGGGGGGCTGACTCTTGGGCTGCCATCATTAGGATGCCGTGCCCAAAGTACATCCTACCCTGAGGGTGATGGGGAGTCTCCCTTGGGTGCTACCTTACATGGCAGCAGCTAAAACCTCAATTTTTCCTTTTTTTTTTTTTTTTTTAGTAGAGACTCTACATGGCCCAAGCTGGTCTCAAACCTCAAAGTCCCAGGCTCAAGAAATCCTCCCTCCTCAGCCTCCCAAAGTGCTAGGATTATAGGCATGAGCCACCATTCCTGGCCCAAAGCCTCAGTTTTATAACTGTGGTCGCATTACACCATGACACATGGAATCCATCATGTAGGACTTTAACTGGTGTAAGAATGGCTTAGCTTCTTAACATAGACTGAAGCAGACTTGAGGTCCACACTCTAATCACAGGGTCCTTGCTCGTCGGCACCTTGGCAACCATCCTCAAGCGAGAGGGGAGGAGTATGTGAGAGCCCCGGATTGCAGGGGACCCCATGTGTGGCATCAGTAATAGCTGCCACACCAGACCCTAGGATGTTACCACATGGCCATGGGTGTGACTGGGACCACTTGGTCCCAGGCCCAGCACCTTAAGAATGGAGAACCAGAAGGGCTTAGGACATTTTACACCCAGAGAAGACCCCCAGAGAGCAATCTGTCCCCAGGAAACACTCACCCTCGAAGTTTGGTAGCAATCTGCACATCAGTCATTTTCCAGTCAACCCCTGAAAAGAGAGAAAGTTGGGAGTTAATGCCAGCTTTGGCTGGTTCTAAGCCCCCATGTCTCCAGAAGGAAGAGACATGGGGGTTTAGATACACATCTCTTCCTGCTGGAGACAAGGGGACTTAGAACAAGTCCAGGCTGGCATCAGCTTCCTGGGTGTCAGTGCAGGCGTGTCTTCAAGCAACTTCTCAAGGTCATCACCACCAGCCTGTCTCACAGACAGCGTGCAGGTATCTGGATTCTTACTGAGAATAATATTCACATTTTTACAAGTGAGGAGGATAGGCTCAGTGTTAAATGGCTTGAGCAAAGTCATACTCACTCATTCAGTAACTGAGCACTGGCTATGTGCAGTGGCCATTTGACTTAAAGTAAGGGTTCAGCTTTTTGGATTCCTAGAGCCAAAACTCTTCCAGCTATGCAATCTTGCTTCCACTGGATCAGACCAGGTCACAGCCTGGACTGGCCTGTGGCTTTGAACTAAAACCTCTTCCTCTGAACAGATTAGTAGTCTGTCCAGACAAGAGAGAGGGATGGGAATGAGAGGATGAATCAGGGGAAGACCAGCAGAAATGCAACAGTACAGAAGACTCGCTTCCACACTTCTTACAAAAGCAACCAGCAAGCAAGAAGCCAGGATGGTCTTCCAGGCTAAGACAGCCTTGGAAGGGCAGAGCCAGGCAAGATGATGACAGAGAAAAAATGTTTTCACTGTGGTCAGGCCATCCAGTTACCTTAGCATTCACACATTAGGTTTAGGACACTCTTTGTCCATTTTCAATTTGTCCAGAGCATTTTGCCGGGAACTTGCCTTTCACTAACAGGGCTGAGTACCATCACAGGATAGACAGCAACAAATGTGGTCTTTGGAGTCAGACCGACCTGGATTTACATTTCAGGTCTACTACATCCGAGCTGTGGGAACTTGACAAGTCACTTCACATCTCTAATCTTCAAGTGCAAACGTGAGGAGAGTAATGTCCATCTCACAAGGGTATTGAGAAGATCATCACATGTGTAGGAGTCTAACCTAGTGTCAAAGCCTAGGAGTTATGTGACAAATGTTAATGTCATAAATATGAACTTCTTTCTCATTTCTCTTTTGGCATTCATAGCATTCCATTTTGTGTAATAATGATCTCTCACATTTGCACAGAATTTTAGTTTGCAGAAGGCTTTCACGAATATGGTCTCATTTAATCGTCATAAAAAAATCTGAGCGCTAGGTAGGAAAGACACTATTTTCCTAGAGAGGGAATGGAAACTGAAGCTCAGAGAGATTAAATGACCTCACCAGTGTGAGCTTCAGTTTTCTTCTCTGTAAAACAGACTCAGATAGAAGAGAATGGGGCTTAGACTTGAATCAAATTTATTTTTTTCTTTATTATTATTTTCTTTTTTCTTTATTATTATTTTTTTGAGACAGAGTCTTACTCTGTCACCCAGGCTGGAGTGCAGTGGTGCAATCTTGGCTCACTGCAACCTCTGCCTCCTGGGTTCAAGCAATTCTCAAGCTTCAGCCTCCCAAGTAGCTGGGATTACAGACATGCACCACCACGCCCAGCTAATTTTGTATTTTTAGTAGGGATGGGGTTTTGCTGTGTTAGCCAGGTTGGTCTCAAACTCCTGGCCTCAAGTGATCCACCCACTTTGGCCTCCCAAAGTGCTGGAATTACAGGTGTGAGCCACTGCACCTAGCTGACTCCAAAGCCTTTCTAGTATACCATGTTATCATCTTATAGTAGAAACTGATCTACTCATCACAGCTTCTTAAGGGCAATGACTATTCCTAAGTCAACTTTTTATTTTTTCAATATTTAGTAGTGGTTGGATGGAAAAAAGATGGAAGCATGAATTTATAAGTTAACAAATAGGTTGACTGATAATGGCTTAATGTTACCCAGCCCTCCCTCCCCCCAATATATGGAGTTATATATAAATTTAACCCAGTGAAACACACATTTGAGTCAGTTTTTTTATCTCTGGCCCTTGGTTTTCTCACTTATTTACAGCAGAGACAAGATTTAATAGTGTGTGATATTCCTAGCAACCTCTCCTTGTCCCGAGGACTTTTTCTGTTCCTCTCCCCTGTCCAGTTCTGCTTAAAGGGAATAGGTCTGGAAAGAACTGGTCGCAGAAGGAAGGAGGGTTCATGCTTGCTGGCCTTCCTTTGTTGGGGAGTTTCTGGGTAATGGGGGAGGGGCACAGAAATAAGTTAAAAAGAAGCCAGACTAAGTGCTTTACATAACGAAAAGCTAACAAAGATGGAGGAGGAAGAGAGACAGTAAAGCTACTGTGCTAAAATGGAAGAGGGAGTCTGGCAAGTTCAGAGAGTGAGAAAGTCTAGAGCAAAGCTGCAGGGAAGGGAAGCGGCAAGGTTTTGAAAAGTGTGATTGTGGGTTTTGAATCAGAGCCCATGTAATGGTCTTTGAAATAAGTTCCTGTTTAATTTTAATTGAGCCTGGACTGTGCTCCTTTAAATGCAACTGCAGTGACACTGGGCTACATGCGGCCCTGATATTTATTAGGGTTGCATGCAAAATGGTCCCTGTCCCATCTACTTTAGGAGATTATTGTAAAAAGGAAAGAAGAGTAAAGACAACGGTGCTTTGTAAACAATCGGTCAAGCACTATGGCTCTCCCTCTTCTGCATGCTTTCATAACCATGCCCGTGCACACCCACGCACCCTCACACCCTCATACCTGCCAAATCTGTGACAAGGAAGCTGCCATTTGTCCACTGATACAGCCAGTGCTGGAAGGTCTGACATTTCTGCATGGCCTCAGAGCTGCTAGATACTGTAGGAGCCCCAGCACTGCCCCATTCCCGAGAACAGTAAGACTCCAGGGGCTTGCCCAGGTCTTCCTCCAGGGTAGCATATGGGATATTGTTTGCAGGCCGGTAGATGAGATACAGTGGGATGATCCTAAACACAGTTTCACCCTGAAGTAAGCAGGAAGTATGGCCCAGGGAGCTCCTCCCTCCAACCCAATTCTGTATTATTGGACCTAAAAGAAGGGCCCTTCCAAAAATGGAATTCTCAGCTCCGAGCCCAAAGGACACAAAGGAAAGCAGCTCCACCCTGAGTTCAGGAAAGGAAATGGATATTTTTGGCTTCAGAGTCCTGTCCATTCTCTTGGTCAGCGGGATTGGAACCAAACCCTGCCATGGCCATAGGCAGACTCTGTGGCTTGGGTGAGGGACTGAGGCGGAAGGAGAAGTATGTGTCAAACAGAAGGAGCACCTTTAGAGAGGATTCAACTAGACTGTGGCTCTCTGCCAGTCGGACCCCAGGTACACAAAGGTGAGTTCAAGCTTCAAAACCAAAACAATTGCCGTTTATAGCTGACTCCTGTGAAAGTCCACACTGACCCTGCCCGCCTACCGCAGAAGGGTCCTGACCAATCTGCCTAGCTTAGCCCACCCCATCACCTTCATGGAGCCCCAGAAACTGCTAAACCCGAACTCTGCAATCAGCAACATCTGCACTAAAGAATGAGGAACTGGGGTGGGCAGGAGGAGCTCGAGTGCAGAGCAGAGGCTTTTCTCAAGTGGGGAGTAAATGAGGTCTTTATTTCTAGACTTTGTGAGACCACTGGGCTGAGCATGGGGCTGACTGTGAGCCTATTTGCACATGGGCATAACCCAGCATGCCCCTGGGAGGCTGTGAAATCACTATCTTCGCAAAGCCCAAGGCAACAGCGCTGCACGTCCTGCTCGCTGTGTACTTACTCAGGCACCTCCCCAAAGCCAGGCGCGGCCCGGGCTTCTGCTGCGAAGATTTTGCAGTACTCCCGACTCATGTTCTGGATCTTGCACCCCTGTGGATGAGGGAACCACATCTGGTCAGCAAAGACATTCCCCGGTCCTCCACTGTGTCTGCCTCTAAGTGAGTGGGCCACCTGTTAGGGGACTGAGAGGAGGACTCCAGCCCCAGGTGAAGGTTTCACTCTTCCCTGCTCCCTACTCTGCACCTCATTTTCCTCTTTTGTATAACAAAGTGGCTTTGAACTTCTTTTCAAACTGAGGTTTTCAAAGTGATTTACGAACTATTTTCTGGAATCCTAATGGTAGGCGATAGTGCCCCAGAGACCACTCTGTGGAGAGCCAGGAAGACTGTCTACCCCACCCACAGCACCCCCGTTTTATCTCACATATAAAGACTTCCATGAGAGATTATGAATGGGCAGGGGGAAGGTATCTACTGCAAATATATAGTTTGAAAACTACGGCCCAAGTCATTTTGAAGCTCTCAAGCTCTCTGAGGCCAAGTATCTAAATTCTAGGCTGCCTCTCAAGCTTTCTACAAAGTCATCCTAGGAGCCTCATAAGGTTGAAATTGAGATGTCTTCTGCCTCAATTTTGGGCATCTCAATAGGACCTGGGCTGGGGAAGGGGTGGGGGTGAGAGAGTAAAGGATGGGCACGAAGATGAGACATAGTACCTGGATGGTGACGTCGTAGTTTCTGCCCACGAGAGAAGTCTCACTGCTGGGCCCAAACACAAGCAGACTGGACACCTTGATGATGCATGTGCGGCCCGACTCAAAGATGGGTTCCAGCCCGTAGATGACCTTGGCCTGGGAGGCCTTCCGAAGGCCACACCCATATCCGTCCCCTCGGAGCTCCTCGCTTACCAGTCGCCCAAAGAGCTTGTCCCCCCAGCAGCCAGAGTCAGCCAGACCCTTGGCAAATACCATAGGGGTCATCTCAATCTCTTCTCCAACTGAAGGGGAACAGGAGAAATGTGGGAGACCAGGACCTCCAGCGTGACCGAGGACTCTCAGGGAAGGAAAAGGCCAGAAGAGCCTCCCACCCTGCTCACTTTCTGTCCAAGCCTGCTCTTTGGACACACTGAGTCCCTACCAGACTGTGGGCTCCTTGGGGCAGAAACTCTATTTGATTCGACCCCTGCCATCTAGCAGTACCTGTGTTGTATCCATCATATAACCCCTGCCTTCCACAAATATGTCCTGAGCACTGTGTTTAGACAGAGCTTAGGACATGTGTGTGGAAGGCAGGGGTTTTCTGTGGCAATACTAATCAATGCCGAATACCAGAATTACTTTGTTTTGGAATTCATTGTTTTGAGCAGATAAATACATGACTCCATTTCAACCAACACGCTTGACAGAAGCAAAAAGTTTGCAGGACAAATACAGCAGCAGCGAGCACCCCTAGTGCTCGAATTGTGACCGCTATATATAATTTCCCATTAAAAGGGAGCTTTCTACAGAAATGGTTGATTCCAGGTCTAGGCAGAAAGTGTCCAGCAAGGACCTAAAACATCATGTGAGACCAGAAAGCAAGAGAGCTAGCAAAAGCTACTGGAGACTTGGCAGAAGGACGTAGGGGCCAACCTGAAGGGGCCCCCACTCAAAAAATAAACCTCACTGGTCACCTACAGAAAACGGTAGGGCACCAACTCATTATTCTAAGTTCAGGTAACTAAAGGGAAAAGAGCAAGTATTTATCCTTCATTTCCTGTTGGAACTTATTTATTGGGATAACCAAATGATCATCCCTTTTTTTACAGAAAAAACTCAGCTAATGAATGAAGAAGAAAACATCAAATTAAACTATCTCCATGTTACAACTGCTAATGAAATAATAGATGTAGGCAATAATCAGTGAGTGCTAAAACCCCTAGATAACAACAGGGTTTGTATCATTGTTTTTAACTTTAAAAGGGGATGGATCACACAGATACCACCTGAATGAACCCAGTAACCAAGCTTAACATTACCAAAAGGGACGGGGCATGAAACAATCTGACATTATGTGCCTCCAGATGGGATGCAAAAGGTGTATGCAGCATGTGTGAATTATTCTTGTAAAAAAAAAAAAAAATCACACCTGAATCTGACTAAACCTTGGAATCTGGTTACCAATTTAGAAGCAGCATGTGCATGGGGGAGCATGTTCAATGGGGACATAATCAACAAAATCCAGAATGTTAGAAATTCTACACCAGTGACTTCCACAAATAAACAGCCAAGGAAGAAAACAAAATAGGAGGAACTGTTAAACATTAAGAGAGACTTTGAGCTGCATTAGCCAAAAGCAACGAGTGGTTCCTGATTCAAATAAAACAACGCATATGAGATAATTAGGGAAATCTGACTGCATGTGTGATGATATTAAAGAATTATTACTTAGTTTTGAGGTTGAGGTTATATTCGATATCAATTAAATTTGATTTTATTACTAAACCAAAGTCACTAGTTAGCATTTTGGGAGGCCAAGGCAGGTGGATCCCTTGAGGTCAGGAGTTTGAGACCAGCCCGGCCAACATGGTAAAACCAGTCTCTACTAAAAACACAAAAATGAGCTGGTGATACATGCCTATAATCCCAGCTACTGGGAAAGCTGAGGCATGAGAATCGCTTGAACCCAGGAGGTGGAGGTTGCAGTGAGCCAAGATCATGCCACTGCACTCCAGCCTGGGCAACAGAGTGAGACTCCATCTCAAAAAAAAAAAAAAAAAAAAGTCACTAGTTGGATGAGTGACCAAATGAATGAAGGAATTAACATATTTGTTAGCTACTACAACTCTAAACATCTTTCCATCATCACTGGCTGCCTTCACAGTCCTAAGTCAGCCTCTCTTGCAGGGGCAGTACATATCCATCCCTATTAGAGCCCTTCAAATGCATATCAAACTTGGTAGGTATTTCATGATCACCAGGGAGCCTGCTGAAAATGCAATGTCCTAGGTCCCTCCTAGGACATTAAAGAGGTCTGCAGTGCAGCAGGGACTAGGAAACTGCATTTCTAACAGGTTCCCTGTGTGAATCCAATGCTGGGCTCCACAGAGCACTGTGAGAAACCCTGGGTAGGAGCTGGCAGGATAAAACATGCCGCTGTGGCCAGTCCTGCCCTGGATCAAAGACTGACATGGGCAAAGGGCACAGGGTGAATTGACCCCTGCCCAGAGGCCCCCTTGGCTGCTTCTTCCCCCACAATCTTCTGATACAGCAGTCCTCCTCCTCCACCTCCCCAAGCCACATCCTAAACTAGGAGGCAAAGGGGAGCAGTATGTGGATTGGGACCAGATTCCAAGCCCTTAAAGTGGGTCCTCCCTGCAGATGGCAGGGGTAGGACCACCCTGCCTTCCCCAGGGGGGCACCATACCTTCACCTTCTTCTCTGGAGATGAATCCTGACAACACTAGATAGAGAAAAAGAAAAAAGCAGTGCCTTCAGGCTGCTGTTCGCAGAGAGAGTGCCTTCTCTCAAAAATGGCAGCTGCCCACCCCCCAGGAGCCAGGCCAGGCTGAGACCTGGGGCAGTGGGGCACACTCACCCTCAGGGCTGAGGCAGAAGTCGGTGGAGGCCCAGCCGTGCTCGTTGTGGATGGTGCACCGATACACACCGCAGTCTACGGGGGAGGCCTGCACAATGGCCAAGGCTGCCGGCCCCTCATCCCCTGCGCTGCAGAGCGGAGACCCTTCTCGTGAGGGCCATCACCATGGCATGGGGCAGACTGTGGTCCTAAGCGTCCTTGGATCCCACTCTGAGGCTGCTGTGAACCCCAGCTCCAAGAGCTCTGGGGAGGCAGCATGATTCCAGGGCCAAGAGCTGGTCCTGGAGCCCAAAGGTCTGGTTGGCAGTCCTGACACTTACTAGCTGTGTGGCTTTGGACAAGTGGCTTAAAAACACTGAGCCTCCATTTTCTCATCTCTACCATGGGAGTCAGTACCTCCTTCAGAGGCTTATTGTGAGAATTAATGAGGTGACAGGCTCAAAGTGCTAGGATGGTACCCAACGGTATTACTGCAATCAGGGAGCCAGGCCAGGTGGCGGTGGTGTCGCTGGCTTACCTCCTGCCCACCTCTCCCACTGGGTGCTGATCCTTGGCCCATGTCAAGACTGAGTCACTAAGAATGTTGAAAAACTGGCACCATAGCTTCAGGCTACCGGAGGCATCAGGAAACTGCTCCACCCGAATCTTCCGGATCACCTGTGGGGCTGAGAGCAGGGCCCAGACAAGCGTGCAACACTGCCCTCCTCCAGCTTGTACCCTCTCTGACCATGCCCTTGCTTTCCTGGATGTCCTTGGTGGAAAAGGCTGGGAGAAAACAGGATTCAAGTCTCCACAAAGACCCACTACTCACAGCCCCCAGCTGCCTGCTGCCCGGGCTTCTGTCCCGACCCCCAAAACATGCATCTCAGCTAGAATGAATCCCCTACTGCACCCTGACTCCAGGCAGGGAAGCCCAGCTGAGGACACAGACAGCAGTTGAGACAGGAACTTCAGTTTGCATTCTGGGTCCCTAACTCTAGCAGCCTGCATTTGCATCCTGTTCCCCTCTCTGTAATCATGTGACAGCTCTGTAAAGGGGGAATGAAGGGTGAAGTGACCGAGCTAGAATGCTACGGAAGCCAGGCCCCATGCTAAGCACTTCATCTGCTCCAGCCCATTTAAGCCTCACGCCATTGCAGAGGTGGCAGTTATCTCCATTCTGTGGAGTGGCAGAACGAAAACAAGAACGAGGCCTTTGGAACTGCAAAGGCTGTGATGTAAGGGTCCCTTTACCAAGGTAACCTGTGAATCCCGAGGAAGGATGTTAGTAGCACGTGCTTTCTGTGGCTCCACGGCGCCCTGTTGGATGAAGCCATCCCCCTCCTCCCCATTGCTCACCTTTCAGCAGGTCTTTGGCTTTCCTGGGCTTGGCCAGTGCCTCCTGCTTGCCTTCATCCAGGGCCAGCTCTGTGTCCGGATCACTGGCCTTGGCGCTGGGACCTGGGTCTCCTGCGGCCAACTCCTCCTCTGCCCGAGGCACCTCCAGCATGCTTGCCTTTCTGCCCTGCGTAGGGGAACGTTTCTCCCGCCCTGGAGTCCCCGGCGACCCAGGCGCCAGGCTTTTCCTGGACCCCCGGGGGGAAACCGTGGGGCTCTCCCTTTCTTCAGGCGTGGTTGCCTCCCCATCTCCTGCTGCTCTGACCTTAGGGAGAAATCTCTTCCTCCGGGCCCCTAGAGCCAGTTCCTCAGGTGTAGCTGCTGGGAGACCTATCAGAGCCTCCCCTGGGACCTTCTCCCCTTGGGAGGGTTCCTGGGCTCTGCTGACTGCTGAGGGTCCCTGCCCAGGGTCTGCCAGCCCACCCGCCTCCCCCAGCCGACCACCCATGCCACTCTCCTGAGAGAGCCCCAGGAGGCCAGGCCCCTCAAGGGAAACCTCTCCTTTACCCTCATTGGATCCTTCTGAGGCTAGCCCAGGGCTCTCCTCATCTACCACAATGGCAGGGACAGTGAGGGGGCTGGGCCCAGGACCCCAGGAGCCCTGGGCAGCAGCAAGGGCCTCGCGGCCAGCCTGCACCTCGCGGTCCAGGAGTCCAGTGAGGCGGCGGGAGGTACAGGGGCTCAGCAGCAGGGTCTGTGCACTCTCTACCAGGTGGTTGTTCTCCACACGCTCCAGGATGCGCCTCGAAGTCCGGGGACTCAGCCCAGCCACTTCCACGGTGGGGGTCAGAGTGGCTGAGGGCACCAGACCTCCGGCGGCCGCCCCCACCTGGGACTCTCCCCCTGCTCCACTCATCTCTGTGCTGGACAGCTTTAGCAGCAGAAGCAGGTAATTCTTCAAGGAATCGATGAGACCAGGGTCACAGCTCCGAGGACGTGGGGTCCGCCCCTCCACATCTGGTACCTGGGCACAGGCCCCCTCATTGCTAGTGGCCATGGTCTCTGGTGGGTGACTCTGAGTGGGGGTCTCCAGCCCCAGGTGCAGTGTTGGAGCAGAAGTCATCAGGGCCTGGTCTTCAGAGGGTAGGAAGGCAGCTGTGCTCCCGTGCTGAGAAGTCGGGGTGCTTCTCGGCCCCTCCTTTAGACTAGCAGTCAGCCCAGTTCCAGGAAGAGAAGGTATTGTGGGCACCTCCTGGCTCAGGCCAGCTGGAGGACAGCCACCCCGATCCACACACAGCAGTCCCCCTGGCTGCTCCTCCTGGGGGCTCTGGAACAGGCTGTCCTCCTGCTTGGCCTCGACTGGGCCTGATGACTGTGGCCCTTGGCCTCTCTCTCCTCCCACTTGCTTCACATTCCCCTTGAGGGGCAGCTGTGCTGGGAGCCTGAGATTCCCTGACAGAGGACCCAGCACACTTTGCTGGTGGTTCCTAGAGACTGTTACTGTTGCCTCCTCAGATCTGGGCAGGAAACCAGGGGTTTCTGGGACACAAGGCCCTTCTGGGGTCTGTGCAAAACATTCAACAATCGGAGTAGCTCTAGGTCCCTCTGTAGGTGGGAGTTCGCGGGCCCTGGATGGTGGGCCGAGGCTGGTCACTGCCTCCTGCTCTGACTGACCTTCTGTGGCTGTGGGCACACTCCCCTCTGATTGCATCCCCTTCTCTTCCCGCATCCTTCTGTCTTCCTCTGTGCCCTCATCTGCCTGAGCCTTCCTGTCTTGCTGTATCTTCTTACCTGCCTTTGTTGCTTCTAGCTGTGTCTCTGCTCTTCCCTCTGTCACCTCCCCCTTCTGTGAACTCCTGGCTGACTGTGGTCTCTCACTTTCTTGTGTCCCAGCGTCCACCTGCATCTTCCTATCTTCCCGTGTCCTGTGGGCTGTCTGGGTCCCATCTCCCCTGGTCCTTCCATCCACGTGCATCTTCCCATCTGCCTGCACATTCTTCTTGCTTCCAGTTCTCTGGCAAGCAGATGTTCTCCCATCCTCCTGGGTTTCCATATCCATGGGTTCAATGATACCCTGACTTCCAGAGGTGCTACAGCCAACGGAAGCTCCATCAGAGCTGCTGCTGGCCAACACGGTAGGAGCCGTGGTTGTCTGGGATTCCAGGATCTGAGAACATGGGACAAAAGCAAGGATTTAACTACATGTGCATTAAGATCTCTTTCCAATCTGGCATCCCAGCCTCCTCTGACGTCATCCAGAACTTCTCATGGGAATCTTGCCGCCTGACTTCTCAGGTCTGCTGGAAGTTGGAAGGCAAAGGCATGTGACGAATTCCCAAGGCCCCATGCCCACCCCATCCTAATCTCTGATCTCAGAATCTGGACTGGCATCCAGTCCAGATTGCATGCAGACCCAGCTTGGGTCTTCCTACCTCTTCCTGAAGAAATCCTGCCTTTCCTGAAAGCCCTTGCTCATGAGTTATCCCGCCCCTCACCCCGACCATTTGAAGGAGACTGTTCTCTCCCCAGGGTTCCCAGAGCAGTCCATCTGTCCTTCTCCTGTGGCAATAACTGCCTTGTATAGAATTATGGGTGAAGTGAGGGAGTGCTGAAGGGTGTTCCGATAATGGCCTCAATGATAACACTGAGTGAGTGGTAATAACATGATGCCATCCAAACAGAGACGGTTAAAGTAATTCTGAATGGCATCTATGCCAGGAAATTAATGAAACACTTACTCTTTTGAACCTCTATTTGCAAAGTACTATGCTAGGCCCCTGTATATGATACTCCTCATACAGAGTGAATACTTAGGGGAATCAGCCCCATCTAGAGATAACAATGACAAGAAGGTATGTGATCTGTCTACTGTCAGGTAGTCAGTAAGTGGCAGAGTTCAGATTCACAGGCAGGTGCATCCCGCTCCAAATCCATGCTCTTTGTTGTTATACTGTAATGCCACCCACATTTAAAGGACTTCCTGTCAAACAGGGTGACATACAACAGTGATTTGCCTCTTCTCCTCCAAGATATCATCAATACTAACCAAGTAAACACGAAATAAACAAAGCAAACTCCTTTGTTAGTGAAACTGGAGGCAAATAAAACCTAAAGTCTCAAAAAACAAGCAAAAGGATAACAGCTGCCCAAAGCCAACAGATACAGACACTGGGAAGCTGAGGAGGAGCAGATACCGGGAAATAAACAGGGCCACAGCTCAGCGGGCAAGGAGTGAAGCTGTTCAGCAGGTCTCAAGATGCCGGCAAGAACACGGCTGCTGCGGACAAAGGACTCATCCTGAGGCGATAAATCCATTAAGTCCATGGGCAACAAGAGCTGCAGGGTCATGGAGGCCTGGGTGGAAATCAGCAAAGACACGGGGAGCTGAGCAGAGCAGATGGGGAGAGGAGATAGAATGGCGGAGGCAGATCTCAGAAAATGCTGGCAGCTATACTCCTGAAGAAACCTCCAGGAAATTGCTAGGCTAAGAACATTGTGTTTTAGCATACAAGGACTAAGGGAATATTGTTCCCGTGAGCTCTGCTGGAGGAAACCACTAAGGAACAAATGCAGTCAACCAAAAGATGACTGAGGAAACAACAGTAAGAACTGATGGTCACAATGAATGTACTTCACTTACATTAACATACATACATGCATATTGATGTGTAGCAGTAGAAGCAAGACTAATCAAGTGGGGTTCAGAATGGCAAATCAGAATGTCAACGTTCTGTGCCCTGATGATAGAGAAACAATACAACCAGCACGAAAGTGGAAAGGGGAAGAAAATACCAAGTGAAGTCACTTCCTTGACTGTGTCACCTGAAAGAGCCAGGCACCAAAGACATTACTCAAAGCTGAAAAACCAACTAACAGAAATACAGGATATTCACCTATACAAAGATAATCACTTAGAAATCAAACTTTAGGCTAATATGAGACAGAAGATGAATAAAGAAAAGGCGGGGAAGAAGTGAAAACACTTTATCATTTTTCATCATAAAAAATTAATAGAAACAGTGAACAGATGAAATAATTAGTGGTATTATATAAAACTGACATAATAACATATACATATTTTTAGATACCAGAACTGCACACAAAATCAAAGCAATCAGTTCCCAAAAGACTTTTTTTTGAGACAGAGTTTTGCTCTGTCACCCAGGCTGGAGTCCAGTGGCAAGATCTTTGGCTCACTGCAGTCATCGCCTCCCAGGTTCAAGCGATTCTTCTGCCTCAGGCTACTGAGTACCTGGGACTACAGGCACGCTCCACCATGCCTGGCTAATTTTTATATTTTTTGTAGAGACGGGGTTTCACCATATTGACTAGGCTGGTCTTGAACTTCGGACCTCATGACCCGCCCACCTTGGCCTCCTAAAGTTTACGCCCACACCCAGCCTAAATGAAAGACTTTTAAATAAACATAATTAAAATATATGTAAATTAAGTGCAGAATTTAAAGTTACTTTACTAAATTAGGAATTTTCTGTTTTTAAAATTTTAAATTTATTTTATATTTTAAAATTAGAGATGGGGTCTTGCTATGTTGGCTAGGGTAGTCTCAAACTCCTGGCCTCAAGCAATGTTCCCACCTCAGCCTCCCAAAGTGCTAGGATTATAGGTGTGAGCTACTGCACCCAGCCTAAATTCAGAATTTTAAATGAATGGTATGGATGTGGGAAAAATTAAAGAGTTTGGTGAATATCAGGAATGAGTCTGACTGAAGAATTTTTTTTTTGAGACAGGTTCTTGCCATCTTGCCCAGACTGGCGTGCAGCGGCTATTCACTGGCAGGACCATAGCCTCGACCTACTGGGCTCAAGTGATCCTCCTGCCTCAGCCTCCCAAATAGCTGGGACGATCAGCTGACTGAAGAACCTTTTTTTTCCTTTTCAGATGGAGTCTCGCTGTGTTGCCCAAGCTGGAGTGCAGTGGCATGCTCTTGGCTGATTGGAACATCTACCTCTCTGGTTCAAGCGATTCTCCTGCCTTAGCTTCCTGAGTAACTGGGATTACAGGCATGTGCCACTACACCTGGCTAATTTTTGTATTTTTTAGTAGAGATGGGTTTCACTATGTTGGCCAGGCTGGTCTTGAACTCCTGGCCTCAAGGTGATCTACCCGTGCTGGCCTCCCAAAGTGCTAGAATTATAGGTGTGAGCAACTGCACCCGGCCTGACTAAAGAATTTTAATAAAAATGCTCTTTAAAGTTCTCTGACAACCAGATATTAACAGGCAAAAATGTCTTGGTGCCAACAAAAGCAATTAGTATATTAGAGCCTTCTTTTTATCTTTTGATATTCTAGAATTAGAAAATATTAATAAAGACATAAGATCTATAGACCTATAAAGAAGGTGCATGTAAGCCCATTGCTGTTCACAAGACTCATGAAAATCAAACTTCTTGATTAAAGCTACCCTCACTCCTAAGCCACTCTCAGCCAGATCAATCCCTCAGTGCTATTGAACCTACTTCTTCATTATCTCAATATCTGTCTCCTTCATCCCCACTGCCAACTGCCTAAGCGGAGCTGCCAAAGACAGAACTGTTTTTCTTGGACTTGCCTGGACTACTGGAAAACCTAATTGGTATCCATGACTCTGATCTCTGCCTCTGCTAAACTCTTTTCCTCACTGCAGCCCAAGAGACCTTTCCAAAACACAAACCTGACTGTAACACTCCCTGCTTAAAAACCTGTTTAATGTCTTACCATCACTGACAGAATAAAGCCTAAAGCCCTAGCTTCAAAGAGCAAAAAGTTGAATTAGACGGTAGCCCCTTCTTATTCACGGTGTTGCTTTCCCTGGTTTCAGTTAACTGTGGCCAATCTTGGTCTGAAAATATTAAATCAAAAATTCCAGATATAAACAATTGATAAATTTTATAGGTCATTTCAAAGAGGCTGTGAAACCAAGAGCTCTTAACACTGTGACCAAAGATGGAAGTTCTCTATAGGATGCCATGGCACTCGATGGTGCTATGTATTCCTGGGGAGATATAAGACTTAGGAATTATATGACATAGCAATCCATGATTGCTGCCATGGGAGACTTTTAAAGATTAACCAAAGTAAAAAGCAAAAGCAAATTATAAACTTGGTGCTGTTCTGAGCAGCATGATTAAATCTCATGCCACCCCACCTGGGATGTGAAACAGCCTTTTGTCCAGCAAAGCCACAGGCTATACACTGGGCTGCCCATTACCCATTTAGTAGCCATCTCAGTTATCAGATCAACTGTCCTGGTATCTCAGGGCTTGTGTGCAAAGTAACCATTATTTTACTTAATAAATGGCCCCAAAGCTCAAGAGTAGGGATACCCCAGCATATGATTATAGTTGTTCTATGTTACAATTACTTATTGTTGTTAATCTCTTACTGTGCCTAATTTATACATTAAACTTTATCACAGGTATGTATGTATAGGAAAAAACACTATGTGTGTGGGGGGGGGCGGGGTTGGTACTATCTGCAGGCTCAGGCATCCGCTGGGGATCTGGGAAAGTATTTTCTGTGGATAAGGGGACTGCTGTACTCTCCTGGCCAGGGTTACAGGCATTGCATAGCCTCTACAGACAGCAATTTGACATTATTTATTATACTAAAAATACTTATACTCGGCCAGGTGTGGTGGCTCACACCTCTAATTTGAGCACTTTGGGAGGCCGAGATAGGTGGATCACAAGGTCAGGAAATTGAGACCATCCTGGACAACATGGTGAAACCCCATCTTTACTAAAAAACAAAAGCTGGGCATGGTAGTGCGCAGCTGTAGTCCCAGCTACTCCAGAGGCTAAGGAAGGGGAATCACTTGAACCCGGGAGGCAGAGGTTGCAGCAAGCAGAGATTGCACCACTGTACTCCAGCCTGGGCAATAGGGGAAGACTCTGTCTTTAAAAAAAAAAAAAAAAAGTATACTCTTTAACCCAAAAATTCCATTCCTAGGAATTTATCGTACAGGAATACTTTCATGTGCAGATGGACTTACATACAAGGATATGTACTACAGCACTGTTTATGCTTATAATAGCAATAGATTAGAAGTCACCTATATTCCACCAATACAGGACTGATCCAATGAATTATGGTATATCCATATTCCAAATAAATAAAACAAATATACAAATAAAAAAGCAAGGTAAAGGACAGAAAGTATATGATATG